ATCGCACAAACCCAGGGGGGGGGGGTGGGGGTGAGAGCGCGCCCCCCCTGACCCCCCCCGGGGGAAAAATAGGAAAACCCCCGCTAAAAAAAAAAAAAAAAAAAAAAAAAAAAAAAATCCCAACCAGTGTATATTTATCAGTTTATTAAAAACTCTGTTTCATTTTCCTTACCAACTGATTACTAAAATTTAGTGTATTTAACGGCGTTCCCCAAAAAGACATGTCTACATCCTAATTCCTGGAACCCGTGACTGTTATCTTACTTGGAAAAAGGATCTTTGTAGATGTAATTAACAATCTTGAGATAAAATCATCCTGGATTATGGCAGGGTGAGGGTGCTAAATTCAGTGATAAGTATCCTTGTAAGAGACACACCCCAGAGTTCTAACAGACAGAAGAGGAGGAGGCAATGTAACCAGAAAGACTTATTGTAAGATACCCTGTTACTTGTAGTCAAAATCATTCTGATGCAAGCATTTCCTGTATTTAAGACATTGAACTAAGTACTGGGGATTTAGTGAGCAATACAGACACAGATCCTACCTACATGTAGCTATAAGCTTTGGGTCTGACAGTGGGTTCAAATTCAAGCTTTGATGCTTTTGGACTTAAAACATTGGGGATGTTATTTAGTCTCTCTGAGCCTGTTTCATCATTTTCAAAACAGATGGATAATATTACTTCCTTCACAGATCTACAGTGAAGATAAAGTGAGATAACACAGTGTTTAGCATATAGGAATATCTCAATAACTAATATATATGAGGTGTTCTGGTAGTAGAAACAGAAATGGAAAGAGAAGAATGGCACAAAAGTCATTTTAAAGGAAGAACACCCAGGATTTTGGTAAACTGTTACAAAAATATTTGAGAGCTTAGTTTTCTTTCACATGGTTACGGGATTTGAAGTATTCTGATATCTTCTTTGATTTATAGCTCATTTAAAAACATATTGCTTAATTTTCAAATGTGCAAAGAATTTCAGGTTCTCTTTGCGTTATTGATTTCTGGCTTAATTCTGTGGTCAGAGAATATCCTTTGTATTATTTTAATCCTTTGAAATTTTTGTATATTTTAAGTTCAACATGTGGTCAGTTTTCACAAATGTTCTCCATATATTTGAAAAGAATGTATTCTAGAGTTGTTTAGCTCTATATGCATTCTGTATATGTCAATTAGGTCAAGTCAGTTAATCATATTGTTTAAATCTTCTGTATCTTTACTGATTTTTCTGGTCAGCTTCCTCTATGATTTGTTGAGAGAAGCATATTAAGATAACCTCTTGAGTTCCCTTTTAAATTAAATATTAAAATATTCTCTATGATTCCCTTTTTAGTTTTTCTCTTTTCATTTATCTTAATTTTTGCTTTCTATATTTTGATGCTCTGTTAATTGCTTTTGCACTTATAATTGTTATATCTTTCTCATGGAGTAAACCTTTTAGCAATAAAATGCCCTTTTCCTAACCTCTAGAAATGTTTTAGAAGACTTCTACTTCATTTGCTTTTAATGTAGCTCCATTTTGTATTTGTTAAGGTGTACATGGTATATCTTTTTTCCACAAGCTTTTGTTTTCAATTTATCTCAGTGTATTCCCTGTAAGCAATGTACAATTATTTTTAAAAATCTAGTTTGACAGTCTTTTTCATTTGAGCATTTAGTCTATATATTTTCGTGTCATGAGTGTATATATTTGTTTTTAAACTACTATTTTAGTATTTGTTTTCTATTTCCCCAACATTTTCTGTGTTTCTTTTCTTTCTTGCCCTTTTGGATTAATGATTCCTTATTATTCACTTTTTCCTACTACCTTGTTAGTTACCTTTCAGAAATGATTCTTTCAGTCATTACTCTAAAGATTATCACATATATCCTTGACTTATTAAAGACTGATATAAATTAATTCTTTATCACTTCCTGTATAATATGAGAACCTTGGAACACTTTAACTTCATGTAGGCGCCTTCTACCTTTTGTGCTAGTGTTTTCATGTGTTTTAATTCCAGATATAGTTTAAATCTCACAATACATGATTGGTTGTTTTATAATAATTCATTTTATGTATCAATATATTTAGATTTATCCACATATTTATCCTTTCTGCTATTTCTTCCTGTTATCTCCATGCTTCAAACTGGGAAAATTTTTTCTCTCCCTGAAGATCTTTCCTTAATACATCCTGTAGAAGGGGTCAGTCCATGACAGATTATACATCTTTTTCTCATGAAAATGTAATTATTTACTTTTACTTTCAAATAATTTTTGCTGATTATAGAATTCTTGATTGTACTTATTTTCTTTTACAACTTTGAAGATGTCATTATATTGCTTCTGGTTTCTGCTATTTCTACAAAGAAGTCATCTGTCATACTGTTGCACCTTTGAAAATAATCTGTGATTTTTCTCTGGCTGCTTTTCAGATTTTCTCATTTTCTTTAGCTTTAAGCAGTTTTACCAAAATGTAAATAAGACTGTGTGGTTTATTTTTCATGTTTTTCCTGTGTGAGGTTCATAGCACTTCTTGAACCAATGATATGATGTCTTCTATTAATTCTGGAAAATTTTTACTTCAAATATTTTCTTAAGCTTATTGTGTCTCTTTTCTAACAAATAATTATATTATAGTTGTGGGGTTTTTAACATCATGTCTTATGTGTCTTTTATACTTGTTTCTGTATTTCCATTCTGTCTACTCTCCATACTTCAGCCTGGGCTGAAAATATTCTTTTGACTCATCTTCCAATTCATTAATCCTCTCTTCAACTCTGTACAACTTGTTGTTAAACCTCTCTTTAAGCTCAGAGTTTTAGTTATTGTATTTTAGTTTGAAGATGTTCACATTTTTTATTATTATAGTTTCCCATAAAACAATTTATCTACTGGAGTTTTCTATCATATTTTCTAATTATTGAATATATGAATCATGGTTATTTTATTTTATGTTTCTTATACCAGGAAGTAATATCTTTTCTTTTAATTTTTAATTTTTGTGGGTACATAGTAGGTATATATATTTAGGGATACATGGGATGTTTTAATACTGGTGTGTGGTGCATAATGATTACACCATGGAGAATGGAGTATTCATCCTCTGAAGTATTTATCCTTTGTTTTACAAACGATCCAATTATTCTCTTTTAGTTATTTTTAAATGTACAATTAAATTATTATCGACTATAGACACCCTGTTGTGCTATCAAATAGTAGGTCTTATTAATTCTTTCTAAGTTTTTTGTACTCATTAATCATACCCTCCTCCCCACTCCCTCTCTCACTACCCTTCCCAGCTTTTGGTAACCATCCTTCTCTATGAACTCTACGTCCATGAGTTCAATTGTTTTGATTTTTAGATCCCACAAATAAGTGAAAACATGCAATGTTTTCTTTCTTGTGCCTGGCTTATTGCATTTAATATGATGATCTCCAGTTCTATCCATGTTGTTTCAAATGACAGGATCTCGTTCTTTTTTATGGCTGAATAGTACTCTATTGTGTATATGTATCACATTTCCTTTAGCCATTCATCTGTGGATGGACACTTACGTTACTTCCACATCTTGCTATTGTGAATGGTGCTGCAACAAACATGGGAGTGCAGATATCTCTTCAATGCGCGGATTCCCTTTGTTTTGGGAGTATATCCAGCAGTGGATATTACTGGATCATATAGTAGCACTATTTTTAGCTTTTTAAAGAAACTCCAAACTGTTCTCCGTAGCTGAACTAATTTACATTCTCACCAACAGTGTATGTGGGTTCCCTTTCCTCCACATCCCCACGAGCATTTGTTATTGCCTGTCTTTTGGATATAGCCACTTTAACCGGGGTGAAATGATATTTTATTATAGTTTTGATTTGCGTTTTTCTGATAATCAATAATGTTTAGCTCCTTTTCATATGGCTGTTTGCCATTTGTTGTGTCTTGAGAAATGTCTATTCAAGTCGTTTGCCCATTTTTTGATTGGATTATTATTTTTGCTAGAGAGTTATTTGAGTTCCTTATACTTGTTATTAATCCCTTGTCAGATGGGTAGTTTGCCAATATGTTCTCCCATTCTATGGGTTGTCTCTTCCCTTTGTATTGTAACCTTTGCTGTGCAGAAGATTTTTAACCTGATGTGGTCCCATTAGTCCATTTTTGCTGTGGTTGCTTGTGCTTTGGGGTATTACTCAGGAAATTTTTGCCCAGACCGACACCCTAAAGATTTTTCTCAAAGTTTTCTTG